CCACCATAATTGAAATATAATTCATTTTGAGCTGATGGCTACTTAGACCTTTAATAAAACATGATTTAAGGCTTGAAGAATCCAGCGGTTGGGGTCTTTGTGCTGAAATACCGTACCCTCCGCAGTCAGGAAGTGTACAGTATTGCATCTTAATATTTTCTTCTTTTTTTAAATGGCAAGGTTTTACATTTAGAAACAAATCCGGTTTTATGCTCATTAAGACAGTTTGTATTTGGAAAAAATAAATCTGAAATATTATTAAGTTTTCTACTGTAATGTTTTTTTAAAATGTAATTTATTTTGTTGTTTAAAATGTGTTTTTTACAGGAGCATTACACACTGTTAAAATGATCTGTTAATTAACAGTTTCCGTATTTTGTGTTTTTCATCTATTTACCGTTGTGAATTGCATTATGGGATGTTGATCTCTGCTCTGTCCACTTTTGATGTTGAAAATTCAACTCTACGGGCCCTATCATACACCCGGTGCAATAAGGCGCAAGACATGTTTCCACGGCGTGTTGCTATTTTCACATAGCTATTACCACAGACATATCACCCTGCAGCCCAAGACCGGTTACTCACTGAAGCTAAGCAGGGCTGAGCCTGGTCAATACCTGGATGGGAGACCACTAGGGAACACTAGGTTGCTGTTGGAAGTGGTGTTAGTGAGGCCAGCAGGGGGCGCTCAACCTGTGGTCTGTGTGAGTCCTAATGCCCCAGTAAAAGTGAAGGGGACACAACACTGTCTGTGGGCATTGTCTTTCGGATGAGACATTAAACCGAGGTCCTGACTCTCTGTGGTCATTAAAAATCATATGGCACTTCTTGTGAAAGAGCCAGGGTGTAACCCTGGTGTCCTGGCCAAAGTCCCTCTATCGGCCCATACGATCATGGCCTCCCAATCATCCCCTTCCACTGAATTGGCTCCACCAATAGCTGGTATATGGTGAGCACACTGGCGCTGTTGTCCTTTGGCAGCCATCGCATCATCCAAGTGGATGCTACACACTGGTGGTGGTCTGGAGAGACCCCTCTCATGATTGTGAAGCGCTTTGGGTGTATGACCATATACAATAAATGCGCTATATAAATACACATTACATTACATTACATTTTCAGACCAACGTAACCTTAATTTTCCTGTTTTCCGCCACGCTGTTTAAATAGCAATCCCATTTGTGCCACTTTGTGGACTCATGGGTGTTCTGGCCTGGAATAGAGGTGTGTTATGGCACATTGTTGGCACGTTGCTATTTTTAGTAACTAAAATAGACCTGAAAGCAGGTCTAAAGTCCAGTGCAGGGCATGTCAGTTGTGCAGCTCACCTATACATTGCTTAAACATGCAGGATGTACAGTAATACGCAAATATCTTTACAAATAAAAAAGAATTAAAGGATTAAAATGTTACAAAAAATATTATTTTCTACATAAATATAAAAACCAACTACCTACTTCTTCACCTCAGGGTGCTTTTTTTCAGTTGATTCACGACAACTTGCTTTTGTATAATGTTATTATTAGTAGTAGAAGCATTTATTATTTGCAAATTTATATTTGCTTTAACAAAAACAAGCTTAGATTTGTTCACCTGTCATGTTTTGGACCATATGGGTTATAGGTTGTGTGTTTGAATATACAGTTGAAGTCAGATTTATTAGCCCCCTTCGACTTTTTTTCTTCTTTTTTAAATATTTCCCAAATGATGTTTAACAGAGCAAGGAAATTTTCACAGTCTGTCTGATAATATTTTTTCTTCTGGAGAAAGTCTTATTTGTTTTATTTTAGCTGAAATAAAAGCAGTTTTTAGTTTTTTAAACACCATTTGAGGGACAAAATTATTAGCCTCTTTAAGCTATATTTTTTCTCGATAATCTACAGAAAAACCATCGTTATACAATAACTTGCCTAATTACCCTAGTTAAGCCTTTAAATATCACTTTAAGCTGTATTGAAGTGTCTTAAAATATCTAGTAAAATATTATTCACGGTCATCATGGCAAAGATGAAATAAATCAGTTATTAGTAATGAGTTATCGAAACTATTATGTTTAGAAATGTGTTGAAAAATTTCCCCAATTAGGCCGCTTGTCAATGGTTACAGGTTTTTGACTTTCTTCAAAATTTGTTATTTTGAAGAAAGGCGAAAAATAGATTTTGAATATAGCCGAAATCCTGTAACCATTGTTTTCCATAGTAGGAAAAACAAATACTATTAAAGTCAATGGTTACTGATTTTCAGCATTCTTCAAAATATCTTCTTTTGTATTTAACAAAAGAAGAAACTCTAACAGGTTTGGAATAAGTGAAGAATGATGACAGTATTTTCAGTTTTGGCATGAACTATACCTTTATTCAAAAGCTAGAGAGCACAGAGTATAAACAAACAAATAAGGTGTATAAAGCAGTCACTTTGCAGGATATATTTGGTTCAAATCAGGCTCTGATGATGTTTTTTCTCTGTGGTAGGCGGGAATGATTCTGGACAATGGAGTGAAGACCACTGAGGCTAATGAGAAAGACAAGAGACCGTACCTCTCTCTTGTAGGAGCCAGGTTAGCGTTTAGAATTTCTCAAAATATGTTGTTTTTTGCATAATTTTGAGTTGATATCTTACATTTAGTATGAAACTGATTAGTTTTTTCCATTGATATCGCAATGAGGGGAGAAAATGTAGGTTTGTTTGTGGATATTTGCTAGGATGCTTGTACTTTGCTATGGGTGAATCTCATGGGATTGACAGGACCTGGTCATATATGTGACTGGTGCACTATACAGTATAGTCAACATTTTAAGTGGATCATTGCTTTTCATCAAACTTGTCCTAAAACTATTGAACAACACCCATTCTTGTCCTAGACAAGTTTGAAAAACATTTTTGATTCACTTCAAATGTTGACTACTGTATTTCATGTCAATATTCTAGGCCAGTTCTAGTTGATCAGAAAACCAGTTTAGTTTACAGTATCACTGTCTTCTGAACCAGCCTTGATGAGTGTGACATTCTACTCTTTCGAACAAGGACAATGTTATTCAATTCAATTCAGTTTTATTTGCATAGCGCTTTTACAATGTAGTAACTGGATGTACGGTAAATGTACTGTACTTTTTAGGTTCATTTGCATTCATACAATTCATAAAGTGGCCTTCTCTGTCAGGTACGGCCCACACCAGGACGCAGACCCCTTTAAACCAAGAGTTCCTGCTCTAGTTCATCATTTTGTTGCCTATAAGAACCAGGACCATGGAGCATGGCTGAGAGGAGGAGATGTTTGGCTGGATGATTGCCAGTAAGTGTTTTTTGTTGTTTTGTTTTGTTTTGTTTTTTGTTTTTTTGGGGTTTTTTTTTTGTTTTGTTTTGTCTCATATTTTGTTTGTTTTGTGTTTTGTTTGTTTCGTTTTTTGTTTTGTGTTTTGTTAGTTTTGTGTTTTGTTTGTTTCGTGTTTTGTTTGTTTCATGTTTTGTTTGTTTTGTTTGTTTCATGTTTTGTTTGTTTCTTGTTTTGTTTTGATTGTTTTGTGTTTTGTTTGGTTTGGTTTAGATTTTTGGTGTGTTTTATTTTGTGTTTTGCTTGTTTCGCATTTTGTTTGTTTTTTGCATTGTTTTTTTTGTTTTGTTTTGTTTGTTTTGTGTTTTGTTTGCTTTGTTTTTTTTGTTTCATGTTTTGTTTGCTTTTGTTTTGTTTGTCTCACATTTTGTTTGTTTTGTGTTTTGTTTGTTTAATTTTGTTTTGCTTTGTTTTGTGTTTTGTTTGTTTCATGTTTGTTGTTTGTTTCGTGTTTTGTTTGTATCACATTTTGTTTTGTTTGTTTCGTTTAGTTTTGCTTTTTTTGTGTTTAGTTTGTTTCGTGTTTGTTTTGTTTTGTTTGTTTTGTTTTTTGTTTGCTTTGTTTTGTTTGCTTTTGTTTTGTTTCTATCTTGTTTTGTTTGGTTTGTTTTGTTTGTTTCATGTTTTGTGCTTTATTTTGTTTGTTTCGTTTAGTTTTTCTTTGTTTTGTGTTTTGTTCTTTTCGTGTTTTGCTTTGTTTTTTGTTTGCTTTGTTTTGTTTGCTTTTGTTTTTGTGTTTTGTTTGATTTGTTTTGATTTGTGTTTTGCTTGTTTTGTTTGTTTTGTGTTTTTTGTTTTGTTTGTTTTGTGTTTTGCATGTTTTGTGTTTTTTTTTTGTTTGTTTTGTGTTTTGTTTGTTTCATGTTTTGTTTGTTTCATGTTTTGTTCTGTTTTGTTTTGCCTGTTAATTTACTCAAGACTATAATTTTGTTTTACAATTGTTATCTTTACATTTTTAGTTAATCCAATAAATGATTCATTTTTCTAAACATTTCATTCATGTTAATATTTAAAATAAATGTAAATGTACTTAATGTATTATTTATTTATTGTTTATAACCTATCATTATATTTTATACATTTTTTATTAATCAAATCTAGATTGAACATTTAATTTTGTTATGACTACTATGTTTTTCTGTACATTTAGTGCATGTTTATATGGTTATTCACTTATTATTTTTTTCATAGAAAATAGAATTTTTAAACCATGCAGTTGATTAAGTATTATTAGAATTATCACACAATTACTGCTAAAGCTCAACACATATGAAATATCACTCAAAGATGCAATATCCACTTACGAAAACCAAAATACACTTCATTTTGAAAAGAAGAAAAATCTATATCAAGCATCTAATATGCATTCCATAAAATAACTTTTAGTTTTGTCAAATCAATTCTCCTAGCGTTGAGCGTCTCCTCCTCAGATTTATGGCTTCAATCATGCGTGAGAGTCAGTTTTGATTGCTCTGCTGTATAATCCGTTGAGAAATGTTTGCATGCGGTCACCACTGACTTCTCCTTCATCTTAATTGCACGCAGGTTTGCTGATAACGGAATCGGCCTGACTCTCGCCAGGTAAACCCCTGCTAATCACCATCTTTCTTTATTCTATTATTTTTCTTGCACACATTTTAGCAGCCAAAAAAGAAAAGTGTTCATATTTGCTGAATTCATTATAGCGCAGGGCGTAGTGTCTGTAATTGGAAAATGCCTTATATGGGCGGCTTCTTAAGATGCGGGGAAGTAGTCGGGGGCTTTTGTGGGAATGTGAAAGTAATTTATTGGTGAGAATGCACCATTTTTTTTGCTAAAGGTGTGGATTCGCATGCTTTTTATTCTGAGTTTGTGCATCTTTGTGTAGTGGAGGAACATTCCCGGATGACGACGGATCCCGTCAGGAGGTGAAAAACTCTTTATTCGTGGGTGAAAGCGGGAATAGAGGGATGCCAGACCTTAATGATCAGTCCTGGGGTCCTGGAGGTCCTGATCATCTCGGCAGATCTTTGCCCAGAGGAGTGTGAGTGCTGCAAATGTCACTTTTCATTTGATGGTGTCACGTTGTTTAAAGGGGATCTCCTTTTTACAAGGTGTAAAATAAGTCTCTGATGTCCCTAAAGTGTGTATGCAAAGTTTTAGCTCACAATGCCACACTAATAATGTATTATAACTTATTAAAAATGCTGCATTTAGGCCTTGATCCTTATTGTGCCGTTTTTGTGACTGACACTTTAAATTCAAATGAGGTTGTGCTCTTTTTTTAAAAGAGGGCAGAGCTACATTTGCTTATGTGTCAGCATTGTGGCAGATTTAAAACAGGACTAGTGTTTTTTTCTGTGTAAACTGAAAACATCTAAAGAAGTTTCTCAGAAAAAGGCAGTCTATGGAGACTAGGAGCTCTATTTTGACGGTCCATACACAAAGTGTAAAGCGCAGGGCGCAAACGCTTTCAGGGCGTGTCAGAATCCACTTTTGCTAATATAAAGAAGGAAAAATCCGCTTTGCGCCGTGGCGCATGATCTAAAAGAGTTGAGCTTATTTTCTTAATGAGTTATTGGTGTGTTTTGAGACTAAACTTATCAAAGTCTCATCTCCCATTCCTTTTAAGAGCCAGTTGTGTCGCACCATAGCGCATTTGCTATTTACATTACGTATAAGTGTAAGTGGAAAAACTGAGCATTTCACTAGCGAGAAAACAGTTAAACAGAGCATCTGCAGTGCGAGAATGAAAGATAAGGCATCTCATAATCTATTACGCTTTCGCTCTCGTGGATAGGGAAACCTTGTACGCACAGCTATCCATTAGCCTATAAATAAGTAATTTAGTTTGTTAAGCGCGAAGATTTGTTTTAAAGCTATTCAGTTCTAATTTCCAGCAAACGAATAAATGAACAATAGTAACGAAGTGTGTTAAAAAACCTGAGTTATATCCTAATACACATGCTGTGCCCCATATGGTCTTAAATCTGACAGGTGGGCAAATCTAAGCTTGTTTTTAATAAAACAAATATAAATATGGATATAATAAATAATACTGCTAATAATAATAACATTATACAGAAGCAAATTGTAATGAATGAACTAAAAAAGCCTCCTGAGATAAAGAAGGCATGAAGACAGTTTTTTTTTTTATTATTTATGTATGCTGGAAAATAATATGTTCTGTTATATTTTAATCCTTTATATTTTTATCCTATATATATCCTTAATATTTTAATTATTTTTCATTTGTAAAGATATTTATGTATTGCTCTACATCTTGTGTGTATTAAGCAGTGTGTAAGCGAGGCGCACAACTAAAGCGCTCTGCGCTCGACTTTAGACTGGGTTTGTTTTGGTCAATTGAAAAATCTATTATAGTTCCTCAAAATAGCAACGCGCCAGCAGTGCGCCTCAGAACGCCTTACTTTTTTGACCAGAACACCTACGGGCGCACATATGAGCGTAAATGCATTTGCTATTTAAACAGCATGGCAGAAAACGTCAAAACGTCTCTTGTGCCAAGCTGAAACTTGCAAACAACAATTACGTCACGCCTTGCGCCACATTGCACCGGGTGTATAATAGGGCCCTAGGCATGGGACGATAACCAGTTTCAAGGTTTACCGTGGTTTAGAAAAGTCAAGGTTTAAAAAAACGCTAAAATATCGACGACAGATTAATGCTGCTCGTTCACGTAACAATCACGATGAACTATCAAAGACACGATCTGAGAGAAAATATGAAACAAATAAAACACAAAACAAACAAAATATGAAACAAATAAAACACAAAATAAAATAAAACAAAAACAAAACAAAACAAAACAAAACAAAACATTGACTCTTTAAATTTAAATGAGACTGCTCTTTTTTAAAAAGGGCAGAATGCTTATGTGTCAGCATAGTGGCAGATTCAAAACAGGACTAGTGTTTTTTTCTGTGAAAAACTGAAAACATCTAAAGAAGTTTCTCAGAAAAAGGCAGTCTATGGAGACTATAGGACGATTACCAGTTTCAAGGTTTATCGTGTTTTAGAAAAGTCAAGGTTTTAAAAACCCTAAAATATACCTAAGGTTTTTAAATATGTTTTTTTTAAATGTGTTGTAAAGAAATCTGTTTTTGAAACTAATGAAGAGAACAGAAGTCAATGATTTATTTTAATTACCTGGTTTAATTATTCCAAAATATTATAAATGTATCTTAATATAACATGTATTTTGTTTAAAGGGGAATTATTATTATTTTTTTTACCCAGACATTTAAAAAGAACTTATTATAGAGCAGTAATCACAATATCATAAAACTGTGATTTTTGTATTCAAGGTTATCGTACCATCAGAAACTTATACCAGCCCATGTTTAATGGAGAATACAGTGTTCATTTGTGAATCCTAAATCTCACATTTATAATTTCTCTTAAGGTGCTTTCAAACTTGCTTCAATTACCTGGTTCGAACCCAAGTTCGATTGTCCCCCTTGTGCCAAGTTCAGACTGCATGATTTTAGCCCTGATATTGTCTCACCGACAAAATTTTTGAGAATTACTATTTCTCAATAATAGTTTTGAGAAATCGCCGACAGATAGCTGAAATCACAGACAAATTAGTGCTGCTCGTTCACCTAACAATCACGATGAACTATCAAAGACACGATCTGAGAGAATCGCAGATTAGTCGCCAACACCCTTCAGATATTTGGCCTGCTGAGTTGTCGGTGATTCAAAATGATGCCATGTGAAATGTATTCTGATTGAAAATAACCTCGGCGATTACCTACAGCCAATGAGAGAGCAGCATTCACATGGATATCTCCAGGCCAGCGGATATATAATGTAAGGAATTGCAAAACGTGTGATTGAGCTTTCCTTTGTCAGTATTAATCTGCACTTGCCCCTAAATACATTTCTTTTAACCTATTTTATAACACTTAGAGTAAACCAAATAGTGAAAGCAATGAGACAGCTGCAGTTATTGGAATCCAAACAGTATGAGAAACTGCTGTAAAGATAAATCATGCTTAGTAAGTTCTGTATTTACAAATGGGAAGTAAAAAAAATCAATCCCAAGTTTCAGGTTTACTAAGGTTTCCTTATGCCTCAGAGCAATTTTCACTAGACTCTTCATAGCTGACAGGGCTTGAGGATTTCATGTGCTTGACTTTCATCTGTAATACTGCAGCTCAACACCTGTCACTTTATATTCCTCTTCTGCCGCTTCTATGGAAAGTGCTGGATTTTGCATGGATGTGTACAACAACAAAACAGAACGATAAAGCACTTTTAGCAATTGCTATGACAAATACCGTATTTATTGCATCTTTGAGACTCTTTGAAAACTTTCTGATGCCTTCTTCAAACTTTACATTCTCCATTCATATTGTAGAAAACAACTTTAGTAGGACAATCATTTTAAGGTGCAGTATGTAAGTGATTGCATTTCTGGATCAAAACAAACGCAAGGGCAGGTTGCCAGATTGACGACACCCAACCGGTGCAAGCCTGACTATCGAGCCTAAAAGCCGATTAAAGGCTGATTTAAATCGTGCTCTATAAATAAGAGACAACACGTGGTAGAAGGAAAATGTTATATATATATATATATATATATATATATATATATATATATATATATATATATATATATATATATATATACTTTTTTTTTTTTTTTCCTAACCAACACCTTGAATTGATATATTACAAACAACTTCTATTCAGCTGAACAAAAGAAAACTGGCAATGATCAGCAGCAGATAGTTTACCTCAGATCTTGAAAATAAAATAAACCGTTTGAAATTGAACGTCAGATCTGTGAGTTTATGCACATCTTGGCGTTTCCATCAACCGTTTTTTTTTTTATGCCCATATCCAAAATGTGCATAAAAATAGGTGGATGGAAACTTAGCTACTGACACAATAATAAAAATAAAGCTTCTTTATTTTGGCCTCTTGTCACGACACGATTTGGAACGGTAGGGATCAAGCCGAAGGAAGTTAGTATAACTCTTATTTTTATTCACAATCTTACTTTCTCTCAGATTTCACTCCCCGGAGCAGCTGACATCACACATAGGACATGCGTTAGGGCTTCCCCTACTTTAACATGCTAAAACACAGCCGTAAAACTCTTCAATGGCAGGGGAGGGATTTCTCTCGTTAACTGCAGGGAAAGAGTTAAACAAAATCATTTACTGGTTTGACGTACATAATAATTCCAGCCATACATGTAACACACAAATAATGTGCTTTAATTCGGTCACGTCCAGCGGCGGTCATCCTTGAACCAATCTCATTTTCACCTGTCTTTTCCGTTGCTCCATTTGCTCCAACTTTTTTTTGCAATCTGAAGCGCGTCAAACGCACAACACGCCCAATTCGAGCCACAGGTTGTCTATATCTCATCTTTTCTATAACTTCACATGTAAATCACTCACACTTCATTTGCATCTGCAAAAAATACTCTGCTAAATAAATTGAAAGCACAGAACAGATTCACATTTAAAAGTAAGGAGCGCCCCCTGGTGGTTCGGCGGAATGAGTTGTGTATCGGGAGGATCAGCTCTTTAATGTTTTAATGCCTCCCTTCACAGAAAGATTAAGGTATGGGCGAAATATGGAAAAATACCTTTAAAGGTTAATAGAATTGTAAAATACAGGAGAATCCCGGGTAAACAGGAGTGTGGACAGGTTTGCCTTTAGAGCCCATTAGCTGCAATAATAGTCTTGGATTTTATTACTTCAAAGTATGTATTTAATATCGCATGCTCTCCAAAGATGGCAAATATAAATCTTAATTTAATGAGAAGAACATAAATAAACACCAACATAACTTGCATTGTGAAACATATGGGTCCTTTGGGCAAATTTGTTCCCCTTAAGAAGAACCGTGAAATCATAAGTCTGTAGCTCAGACAGGGCTGGGCGTTTGGAATATTGAAAATGTAACCACTAGTTGCTAGGCGACCATACATCCCATCCATCCCAAAATGACTTAAAATGCAATTAACCCCAGACCCTTCATGCATGCTAAGTTTGGCGAGT